GTTTAGACATTTCGATTGTAAAAAAGACTAGAATAAATTCCTAACTAATGTAAATAACCAATTTTTTTAATTATATAATGATTTTATCAAAATAGTCTACGCTTAAGTTTAAGACATGCTTTGGCTTTACCGTATTCTTATAGTAGATGTTTTGTCAATTATCCTATCTGCAGATATAAAAATGATTTTGGAATAGCCGAAAGAATTTTGAAGAATAAGATATTAATTTTCCAAACAATGCTTCATATCCATTTCCGTAATTGCTTTATTAAACCTGCGACTACCATACATATTTCTAACTATTTGAGAGTAAATAGACCAGCAAAGCAATAGAAAAAAATTTTTTTTATTCTCGGTAAAAGCTTAAAAGAAGTATATGCCGATACAATATCTGCAAATGCATTTGTATCGCAGAGCTTACTGGAGGACATATCCCAAACCGTAAGAGGACTTCAGAAATTGTGATGTCCCATAGCAAATTAGCTTCCCATGTAACATGATGGCCTTTCTATCTGAAAAGCGTGTATAATTCATTTCGGCGTCGCAGTTGGATATATAAGCATGGGAAAAAATTAATGCAAAAGAGAAGATTATACATGGAAAAGGAAAATTGTCTAAAAACATATTTCAATGCAAGGCTTTATTAAATGAGTTAGCGTCATTTTGTGGCGAAACTTTATTGAAATGACTATTATTTTAAATCTTTTTCCAATAGCCATAATCATTAAGTATCTATATTGCTTCTTTTATTCATTTAAAGCTTCATGGAATTAACTTGGATCAGACAATTTTAAGTGCATTTTCCACATTTTATAAAGCGTTTTTTTTCGCCGTGAAAAGTTACGCAATCTGCCGGAAGTCATTACGACATCAATAATCTTTAAATATTATTTCTTTATTTCCGAGGGCCAATTTATATGCCTGTTTGTGTCGTTTGAAGAGGTTACGGTGAAAAGGAGCACAGTTATAGAGACACCTCTCTATATTAGGCGATCAGAAACTAATTTTACCGGATTCTATAGAAGCTAAATTAGATCTCATTCTGCATCCTTCACCTCAGAACCTTAACATAGTTCCTAACTTGACCGTTTAACAGTGCGATTATATCAGGCCTACAAACCTCTTTTTGCAAGAGTGGTTGCTCATAAGTGCTTCATGCCTTAGTTTATCGATGCTACCCCTGAAGGGGCTGTTGTCACACCTACACACACATACACAACGAAATGTATGACTATGCGAATTAACCAAGTTCAATGGTGTATTTATATACTCTTCTCTCCAATCGGCACCAAACTTACCCGCCAGTATGTCAGCTTCATCCATATAGTGTGTGATTAGTATGATGATTCGTCCCTCTCGTAAATGACGTAATAAACTCCATATGCAACGACGCGAATATGGATCAACGCCCGAGGTCGGCTCGTCCAGCATCACCAGTGTTGGTTGACCGATAAAAGCCATTGCAACGGATAATTTACGCTTATCTCCACCCGACAACCGGTAAGACGGCTCTTGAGCAAGGCTGGAGAAGTCTAGAAGGTCGAAGAGCTCCATAATCTGTTAGGCCCCATTCGTGTGTTGGTAAACCGGTTTAGAAATGGTAGGGAGTATTACTGGTTTAGGTACACGGTAAGATGCTGGCTATCATTTATTTATCTAAATTTTATTGTGGAAAAATCTCCAACTTTACAAGCTTTTCACTGAGAGGATGCCGAAACAAAATATTTAATTTAAACCTCGCGGAAGGATATAAATAATTTTCTTATAGTCCAGGAAGCGCCCAGAATGTTTTAAGAAGGCATCTTTGTTGCCCTTTGCACTTCTATCAAGTCGGACTTGTTTGAAACTGCACATATACGGCTTAAGGCCCTGGATAATACTAATAAAACTAAGGCAAAAATCAATTTACAGTCTAGTAGCAATCAAGATTAAATATTGGAATGTGTAACATGGTGCGAATTAATAGCAAAATCATGCTTTTCTTTAGGTTATGTGCTAGTGCCTGTAGGTCAGGAAGAATAATCATGCTACATATTTCATAGAGGTGAGCACCAGAAAGTTAACATGGATACTAAATTATAAATTGGCCAACTAATGGTTTTATATAACACAATTCACATCAACGCATTAGACCAGGCTCGGAGCATTTACATTTTAATATAAAAATAAACTTTTAACTAACAAGAGGCTCATTTTTAATCGTAATATCCTAATTCGATGGTCTAAAGCGTAAATAGTCTCCATAACAAAGAATAAATTCATATATTGTGGCATGTCTCTCCAGTTCAAAGGGAAAGTTGGCTGGAAGGAATTCGTAATGTGGTCTCACCGGAAACCGAAAGAGGATTGCCGCGTAGAGAAGACTGTTGAATTGTGCAAAGAAGTCCTCGGCTCTCCGTCCTTCGTCCCAGATGAAACGGTGCTAAACTTTTGTCTCTTGGCTCAGTATATTTTTACTCTATTTCGTAGAGCATGTAATTTTGCCCTGATGATGTCTGTAACAGTACAGACGAGAGCTTAGCACAGTTTCATCTGTGTTGCAAGACAGTGAACCGAGGACTTCTTGGCACAATTCAACAGTCTTCCCTACGCGGCAATCCTCCTTTGGTTTCCGGTGAGACCACATCAAAAATTCTTTCCAACCAATTTTCCCTTTGAAATAGAGAGTCATGCCACAATATTTCATTAAGAAATTCTTCGAAACCCACTCTTTCTTCATAAACTCGTATAGTTAGTTTGGTGATGCTTCCAACTATATTCGCATTCACCATACACATACATAAAGTTTATCAATTCAGTCGTACGTACTTTCATGATTGCGCAGTAGCCTCCGCACCTTTTACTGGGTCATCAAATATTGATGACTCTG